TTTGACGTCTGGATTGCGCGTTACTCGAAAACGAATGTTGTTTTCTTTAAGAAATTTCTGCATTGATTGCGCGACAAATTCTTTACCCTTGTCCGTTTGCAGGTATACGGGTACTCGGCCTTCGCTTTTCGCTAGTACGCGTTGAAAAGCTTTTATCGCGCAGTTACTCGATTTGTCGCGTAACGGTTCTACCCATACGTATTTACTTAGTACATCTATAATCACTAACAAATAGGAATAACCGTCATGGAACTTTTTAGATTTTGGAGTTCGATCAAATCTGCCTTCCACACATCGTCGATGTTCGTTACGTTGTAATGCAATCGTGGAAATTTTCTACGCAATGATCGGTGCAACGTGTACGCGTCTTACGATTCTAGCCAGCGCACGACTTCTCCCCGTGAGAAATTCGGTTTAACAGCACGAGTTAGATTATCCACCGCCGAATAGCCCGTGTTATGCGACGGATCATAGTATAATTTTTCAAACGTCATCGTATTATCTTAGTTTTTTCCAACCGAGTAACCGATTTTTTCCCGTTTGTAGAGATGCGGGGGTATCAATTTTTCGTGTACGAGAAAGAATCATCGAACTTTCCTCGTCTGTTTCTTGTTCGTAATTTTTACGTTTTTCTCTTTCCTCTCGATACAATCGGCGTGGATCTTGCGCTTTCGATATAAAAGGCGTGGAACTCGCCCGAGGTCGAAGTTTTACGCTGTTTACACCAACACCGTGCGAGGACAATAATCTTTTATTTCTCACCAGCGCAGAAGGTACGTTCAACGCACGGAGTAATCGCGCGAATTGATTTCTACCTACTGCTTTCACAGTTTTTCTCTCGCGCATCGCGTCGTTTATCAAGTCGGTGATATTCGAGTCTTTCACGACGTTGCCATCTATAGTCACGATTTCATGCTCGACCCAACTAATTCTATCAGGTATAGCATTTCGAATCAAATGTTTCATCAGTAAGCGTGCATGCTTACGATAAGATTTCGGTACGCTTTCCACTATTTCCTCAATGCTTTTCATCGCATGATTATTCTTCGCATGATTATGATCGCTCGAAATTTCAAAATTTTTCGTAATAATACCG